CATTATCTTGTTTTTCGTTTATACCTCAGAAAAGCAATCCCCTTTAATGCATAGAGCATTTTTTGTTCCACAAATCTGAAATGACTTTTCCAGAAAAGCGAAAAGGGTATTTCAGCTAGTCAAAGGAAATATGGCATCACTAACAAGTTAACCCTAATCACCAGCCAATAAAGTACCCTACGTATACTCAACAAGAACAATGATTCAATAATGACCCACAGTAATCAAATTTAATATCGTAATGCAAGTACGTCACTTCAGTTTATCACAATGATCAAAAGCAACTTCAACAATAGATTAAAAAGTACTCATTTTGTAATATGAAATCAAGACATGCATTATATTCAAATTTCATCTTGGCGTAGGAAAGGTGATCAAAATATAATTAAGATAAGCATCCCAATCCCTGTTTGAAAATTGAAAACATGTCATAAATGTATTTTGCAACTAAAAGGTCCATATATATATTTTTTTCTTTCTTTCTTTAAGGCAGGAGGATCAGAGGGAGCACTTGACAGAAACAACCAAACTACCAGCTTCAAAAGGAAATGAACAATCCATTGCTCAATAGTTTGACCCATTTCAACCATGTATTGGGACCCCTGTTTGCCTTTACAGACACAGGTGGTCTTCAGTTCTTCAAACCTCTCCCAAGCCTTCCTACTGTCAACAATTAAATGCCCATGCACGTTGATCTCTCCTTGATGTAGTCCCTACCCACTTTTGGGACAAAAGTCACATTAATTACATTTGTTCCCTACTGCTATGCCTGCAACAACCACATCCAAGAACTCCACATACCACCCATTTTAGATGCTTTTCCAAGTTGTTTCAGAGTACCAAAGAATTGGGGAGGATATCTTTCCCATGCTGCATGGAATTCTACCCATGTGAATACCCATTGTATGGCCGTGGGTGTTATCTTTTAGTCCACTAAGAGCAATGTGTCCTTATCTTTATTATATATATTGTGTTCTATGACTTGAAGAGGCAGATTTCTCTTCAAGAGATTGGGGTAATCTCTTTGCTGCTTGGGTTAGTAAAGAAAGAAGGTTGAGGGAGAGTGAGTTGAGCAGCTAGTCATCAGCTCGTTGGGGTTTATATTTTAGGGCTTGATTGGATATTCAAAGAATTGTTTTCAAGTGTTTTTCTAAAAATATTTTTCATCTTGATATTTGGATCCTCTAAGAAATTGGTGACTAAGGCCTCGTTTGGGGACTGACTATTTTAGTCAAAAAGTCAAAAAGTCAACTAAAACTAGTCACATCACCTCTCTACTTTTCTGCACATCTTTTCATAAAAAACTAAAAAGTTACTAAAATAGCATGTTCCCAAACGAGGCCTAACTGAGATATGAGATTTCTCCACTTGGATAGAAGCTTGATTTGTGTTGAGATCATGGTATTGTCAAGCCTTAAACGAATTTTGAATGTTCCCCTGCTTTTTTATTTCTCAAGTTTTATAAACTTGGAAGTCTGTGTTTACTTGGTCTTTGGACATCTTGATTGGATAATTAAAGCATTGTTTTCAAGTGTTTTCCTTAGAATATTTTCGACCTGATATTCTGATCTGCTGAGAGCTAGGTGACCTAAGAAGCATGGATGCTTCCATGAAGGGTGTCATGTCAGACACGACACTCCGCGGACACTCCTAAAAGCATGTCCGACATTTCTTCAATGTGTTTTAATTAAAATTTTTAATTCATAATATTAACACTTTCAGACACTTCGGCGAAGCGACACTTCTTGAACCCTTTTACACGACATGTGAGAAGAATCACTTCACAGCAACAATGTTTTGCATTATTTGGAATACAACTTGTGCACCTTTGAAACATTTATAAGATAAATACATCATGTGTATTTCAATATTTTACAATTGTTTTGCATTCTTTAGAAAACAATTGTTATGTGAATGGATATCTTAATATTTAAGTTAATGAAATATATGACTTTTAAATTTTAATTAGTGTTATGATTTTATCTCAATGAACTATTCATATATTTGATATATAATACATTTTTAAGAATATAAATTTTTAACATGTCCCCAAGTGTATCATGTTTGTACTGTGTTGCGTGTCCATATCTATGCTACTTAGTAGATGACTAAGTGAGGTATGAGATTGCATTAGAAGCTTGATTTGTGGTGAGATCATGGTATTGCCAAGCCCTAGAGGTAATTTTGAATTTTCCCCTATTTTTATTTCTCTAGTTTTGGGCATGACCCTAAAAGTTTGTGAGTTCGTGTTCATCCAGTATTTAGAGAAATCTTGTGTACCCATTACTATTTTTGGTGAAAGTGTCATTGGATGGTTTTCCACGCAAATTTGGTTTTTTTGTGGTTGCCTATTACTCCCTCTATTTTTTTTTTTTTTTTCTTTGCTTGGTTGATTAGTTTTCTTCATTGTTTTGGTTGAGCTGCACTCAGTGACTGGAATTTTTGCTGATTGTGTTCTTTGATTCACAATTGACCTTAGTTGGGAGGGTTTTCTCGAGCATAGACTTGTAGTGAAGCCAACCATCAAAATTTCGTTTTACAAGATTATCACAAGGAATAAAAACTTACAACTTACAATAAGGATTATGCTAAACTGTAGACCATGCGAGCAACGTAGAAAATAAGTACATGGAACACTCATTCACCAGAATATTTTCCAAAAATCACATGAGTATAATCTTTCATATCAATAGACAGAACTTGGTTACAATGATTCCAAATGTTTCCAATTAGGACAGAAGTTATTTCCTTTTTTGATGAGAAGGACAGAAGTTCTTCCCATAACCTCAGCACACATTAACTAAAACTTCTCTAGTTGTTTCTTATCTCTTCCAACCCATCCACAAAGAGTTTATACAAGCTGAGACTGGAAGTTTACACTACACTAGCAGCACTTTAGTTCTAATCACAAGCCCATTCAGGAGCTCCTAATTAAAAAACCAAGCATGTAATATATCACATGCAAGACTAGTAGGTTGTGAAAACCATATACGAAAACAGGAAATATAGGTTGCTACAATTCCACATAAAGGAAAAATTATTCAGTCAAAATACTCTACAGAAGAGTATATGGGAGTGACTCAACCAGCAGTTGCTATAAATCAGCAGCTAAGCCCGAAATAATTGTTGTCAAGGGAAGAGCTCCTAGCAATGGATAATTTTTTAAGCCAAAACAAATCTCCTATTCCCAAGTTCTATTCATATTCTAAGTTTTAAGACATTATAGCCATAGCCGTCCTCTCCACTAGATTGCTTAAACATTAGATGTATCAAGTCATCAGACACAGTCAAAAATCTACTAAAACTTGTTGACCATATTATTACTTACAACACAAGTTCTGAACAGGTGGCATAATACAGTAATGCCTAATTTTTTAATTGCCCACATATACCCCACTAGTCGGATGAATAAAAACCTTTGCTTTATCACTAATTATGAAAAAACAAAGATTGCATCAAAGAACAAGGCATTGGCAGCATAAATCATAAATTAACATACTTTCATATACCAAAGGGAATGTCCTCGAGCCTTCCAACCATTCTAAGTGCATAACCGACACATCAATCATGTTCTTTGTCCTAAGTCTGCATACATTACTCCAAAAAAAATTAAAAGCAAAAAGAAAGTCATGTAATCAAGTGGCACTTAAAATAGTTGCTGTTTCCTACTTGGAATTGGAACTATAGATAGGAACTTCTTGTCTTACAAAGGGCAGCATAACTGCATAAAGATGCAATAAGGAAACGGTCCTTGTCTAAAAATATGATACATGTTTCAACCACACCACCAGAGGGTAAGATCTTTCTCATATACAAATTGCAAAAGGTTTTATTCCTTCCCAAATCTGCCAGAGAAAATTACAAACCACCAGCTTAGCAAGGTCCAATTATAACCCCACTGCAAGCCATATACATGCATACTAATGTAACTAAAAAGATATTTGATGCAAGATGGAGTCTAATAGAGGCTTCCCTACAATCAGGTGTAGCGGGCTGAACCCTTGATTTTCAGGGCTTACAGTTGGAAAGACAACATTAGGGTTCAAAGATGGATCTTGGATTCAGTTGGTTGAGATCTAAGACTGTGTTATTGTGAATTCAAAAGGAACAGCTTGCAAGATTTTCTGGACTACAGAGAAAAATCAAAGTTTTGGGCTTGGAATGGTAGGATAAGTACGGATAGGGTATTTAGGATCAAAGGTTTAAGGTTGTAGGGAATTAATTAAGAAGAGAGAAGGATGCTTCGTCGATGTAAAGGTTCTAGGGATTTAATTAGGAAGAAAGAAAGCTGCTTCGTGGCTGCAAAGAAGACCCTGTAGAATCTCTCTAAGGGCTTGATGAAGATCATGGAAAGAAGATAAAGGGCAAATATGGAATTTCATATGAAGCATGTTCAGGGCATCAAGAATTTAGGTTTTGGAATAAATTTGAGTCTTGATTTGTATTTATTCAAATTTTCAGTCTTTGTGTCACTATAGTAGGTTTTAGTAGTTGACGGTATTATAGTAATTTCAATAATTGTTGGACATGGGTTGTAGGAGTCACCCATGAGTTTTACTTTGGATCAAGTTATTAAATGGGTAATTATATTTGGGAGATATTATGTTTAGAATAATCTTAGTTGTCAAAAAGGTCCAAGTTTCTTATTTTGAAGTTAGAGTAGAATAAGAAGTCATCACAGTTTCCTATTATGATTGAAGTGGAATTGGAAGGTGTTGTTTGACAAAATTGAAAATTGAAAATTGAATGCTGAATTTTTAAGCTAAAAACCTATTTGATAAAACTGAAATTGTTGAACTATAACAAATTGTTTAATATGTATAATATTAAATAAGATGGTGGTTGTGGTGATGGTGAAGAAGTAATGTAATTGAGATAAAAAGAAGGCGGCGGCGGTGGTGTAATGATGGTGGTTATTGTGGTGGTGGAATAATGGTGGTGGTTATGGCAACAGTGGCAATGGTGTTGTTGTGGTAATAGAAGTGGTGACTGTAGTGGTGGTAGTGAAATGATAGTGGTGTTTATAGTAACAATAACAACGGTGATAAAGGAGGTGGTCGTGGAAGGGCGGTGAATGGTGGTGGCAGCAGTAGTGGTGGAGGCGGAGACAGTGATAGTGGTAATGGCGGCAATAGCGACAACGACAGCGACGATAGTGGTAATGGAGGTGATTGTGACATTATAATGGTGTATGTTGATACTCATTTATAAGTATTTATAAATTTAGTCAGAACTCCACCGGGGGGGTTAACAACTCCGCCGGTCCCAAACTCGGGCAAAGGAGGAGGGTTGTGTGTTTGGTAGCTGACAGCCAACACATAAAAAAGCTACTCGGATTCCTTATGACAATAACCAACCTCATTTGATGGGACTTAAGGCTTAGTTTGGTTTGGTTTGGTTAGTCAGAATTAAGTAAGTTTCCTATTACTTCAAATATTTTTAATTTTTAGCCTACATTTTAAGTGCTACCTAAATTTTTAAGTGATACCATTTATGATTATCAAACGTACTTAATTGATTTTCACTTAATACATTCAGTTTTAAGTGTTAAATTAGGTTATCAAACACCACCAAAGTCATAGTCTTTGTTGGTCTAGATTATTAGTAGTTGCCAAATACTTTTAGTTTCTAAATTTGAGTTCTAATCCTTATAGAAGTAGGAGTCTTTGCCTATAAATATATGTGTAATTTCAATTATTCAATGAAAGAGTTGACATTATGAAAATTTGAGATTTTATTTGTGTGATTGGCCTAACCCTTGTAAGGGTGAAGCACCTTTTTCTCTCTTTTCTTCTTCTTCTTCTTCTTCTTCTTCTTCTTCTTCTTCTTCTACTACTACTTCTCTTTCTTCTTCTTTGTACACATACCCAAGATACTATTCTCGGGTCACAACCCACTAAAAGTGCACTTTTCAATCTTAAAACCCAATCCTATCACCTCGAAATCCTAAATTACTCACTATTTGAGCTATTGAATAACTTTTGTCTAAAAATCCAGCAAGCCGCCCTACATCAGGCCTCCTATGAGTTATTCAAAAGAAACCAATGGAGACAACATCTGAAAGAAAACTAGAATACATTAGGAAATTTTAGTAATCAAACTTGTTTTGTTGTCTATTAAAAAAGCTTGTTAGTACAGAACCATAATAACTTTCCCAATAGGAAAAGGATTTCCTAATTCCTACTACAAACTAATTAAAACTCAACAGATTTCAAATAAGTGTAGAACATGATAGAACTTATATCCTAATACCCTAGTAACCTAAATTTAAAAATAAAAAACCATAGAATTACTCCACCCATGAGCTTCCACACTATAATAATACCCCAGGTAATACATATTGCAGCTTTTGCAACTTAAAGAGAGCTAGAAACCGGTGGGTTTGACCAAACCCATCCAAAAACTAGACTCATGTCAAGTGACACCTACTACAAGACCTGTTGGGCCATTGTGAGGTCTTGCATGTTAATTTATCTTTTTTCTCCTAATCAAAGCATATATTCTAGTGGGCCAATTCTCATCCTATTATTCACTACTAATAACCACAGAATCATTCACTCGTAGCCTCAGTTTTCAGAATCGCAAGTTTCTTGACTGCACCGCCTCAATGTTGATCACCTGTAGGTTCACCGTGATCACAAGGATATGTCTAAGATAGACCAATGTACCAAGGAATTTTTAGAATCCATCAAAAACCTGGCAAAGTTTGAAAAGAAAAATTTAGACTATTTACAAAACATTATGCAACCATCCCTCCAGACACAGAACCTAGATGTTTTACTAAGTACAAACCAAGCACCACGAACATTTCAACATATATTCTAAGCCTATGAGCAACACAATGTAACCATAAAGTGAACGCAACTAAGATGGCCAATCAATCGATAATATCCACATGAAGCAATTAGCAGTAAGCATGCTGTGTAGACCAACTCCAACAAAATGCCAACTTTGGTACAGTTGAGATTCAGCACAAAATGAATGCAACTAAGATGGCCAACCAATCAACAATATCTACTCGAAGCACTTAGCAGTAGGCATGGTGCACAGATCAACTCCAACCAATGCCCAACTCTGGTAAAGTTGAGTTTCAGAGTCTGCAATTTGTCCCCTCAGTCAAGCTAAGATAGCTTGACTGAGTGATGCATGCTTATGGGCAAATATAGAGTGATCCCCAATAAATCCTACCTTTGCATGCTAAGGTGTATCTTTACAATGAAGGAAATTGTATGGAGTTATCTTTTGTATAATGAAGGGAGCCACTGGTTCAGTGGTAAAAACTTGGTATATCAACCTTGAGGTTCCGGGTTCGAACCTGAGGGCAACCAGTAGTACTTAGATGTCAATCCAATCCTATTTTCATCTTTTGGTATTATATCTTAACTCAATTTTTTGGATGACGTAAATATGTAGCTCAAGCATTAGGCATAGATAATAAAAAGTTCTATATGATAACCAATTGCTTGCTATGTTTAAAATGTATAACAATAAGAAGGTTTCACTACCCACCACTAATGTCTACCATGGTTCGTAGAAGGACCCACTCTCTTTAACTGGCCTTCCTAAAATTTGGCATAAACTCAAAAAGGATTATTTCAAGCTAGTCTTAGAACTTGAAAATTCAATTATGCATCATTTGCGTAAAATGCTCAAATGCTTCATAAAGGTGACTCCAATAAATGGTTTTAAGGCATGCTCATTCCGTCCGTTCTTTTGCAAGTACAAGTCATTCATGTAGGAAATTACAGTTGATTTTCAAATCTTAAGTTTGCTAACTGCTCAAAGTAACCGTTTTAATGGTGTAAAGTTTTCACCAACACTTTCCCCAATCCTACAAGACTTGGTATCTCCTTTTGGATGCATTGACTGAAAGCTTGGGACTGTAGTCTATTATATCTACAGGAAAACAAGTTGGCCTTTTGGGAAAGTGTCTAGGTTATACCTGAGATCAGTAACCAGGTCCCCCCCTTGTAAAATATTGAGGGTTTTACGAAGTAGAGTAAACCTATATGCCACATTGTGTAGCTCAATTTTTACTGGTACAAACCAAAAATAGAAAATTGATACTCCCTATCTGCCTCAAGAAAAACCATTCTTATCAAGAGAAAAAGAGAGTGAGTTAAGTTTAAAAAGTAATACTTGGTACCTACCGCATGCAAAATGCTTTGTAGAACTTCCTTGGAAGCTTGACCAGTCAACACCTTCTTGAAAGCATCAGAAGTTAATAGGAAATGAGGTCCACCAGTAATAACTTCACCAAGGCGTAAGAAAGGGACCATCAGACTACAAAGTAAACACGCCCACAAAAATCAGACTATGGATGTATATATATACATGTAGCAAAATATTCCTGTAACATTCAGCTCAACAACAGAACATCATATAAAAAATAAATAGAAGTTGCTGAACTATGTGCATATAAGAAGACATGACAGGACAAGTAGTCATTATCTTGTAATTAGAATATTAGAGGGGTGGCAAGTACATTGCACAGTCCTTATTTCACTTGTCTTCTCCTTTCAATTGTCATTGGCTCACCTTCCTCTTTGTAGATAACTTGTTGCATTATGGGATCATAATTTCAATACTTAAGGCTTAAGAGCAAATTCGGGGAAATCTAGCCTTATTCCGATTAGAGAGATGCCTCATGTATAAGCTTTGGTGGGAGAGGTGCCTCATGTAAAAGCTTTGGTTGACATTCTTGGTTGCAAGGTTGATGTCCTCCCTCCTTATTTGGGCCTCCCTTTGGGTTTTTCTTTTAAAGCAAAGGCAGTTTTAGATTGGTGGTGGAAAGGTTTCAGCAACACTTGGCAGGATGGAAGAGACAGTACTATCCAAAGGTGCCAAGTGGACTTTTTTTTTTTTTTTTAATTATTATCAAAAGCACCTTATGATGTAGGACAACATTATGGAACTGTTATGACAGTTATGGGACTGTTATGAGGCTGAATTCATTCAGGAATTAAAGAAGAAAGAAAAAGAAAAAGAAAAAGTCTAGACATCACACCTAAATTTTATAGGCATCACACCCCTAAGGTTAGGGTTGCATCACACAAACCCAAAGAGGCTTCAAAGTTCTGAAAATTCTATTAAAAAAAAAAAAAATCAACTCTATTAAATAAGAAGTATTACATAACTTTATATAGGACTGGGAGAATTCCAAAATAGGAAACTACTAAAATTTTGACTTCCAAAACCAATTCAATTATTTCTGTTGTAACAGGGGAAAAAGAAAATCAAGACAAAATAAGAAACATAAATACAAATTAATTAAATAACTTGACCCACAAGAAAATCCATGGGCGACCCGCTACAGTCCATGTCAGCATATATAAAAATTCTCAAAATACCCCTGACCCAAAAATCCTAGAAAATATTAAAATAATCATAAAATAAGACTCTAATACTCCCCCTGTCCTAAAATGTTGGTCCCTTTTGAAAATTCCAAATTTTTAAGGGAACATGTAATTATTGCTTTAAAGTCAAATCAAAAGATATTGATTGGTAGTTTTGGAATAATATAAAATTTTATGTTTTGACTTTTCAAAATGGACAATCATTTTGGGACATCAAAAAATGACAAAATGGACCAACAATATGGGATGGAGAGAGTAATACTAGACTCATGATTATGAATGGTTCCCATTGATTTTTCTTTGAAATTATGCCCATTTCCAAATATCATCACTTCTTTGAATTTAGTCTTCCTTGAGCTTCTTATACTTTGCATCACCTTACCTAATTCATATCTTTATTTTCTATTCCGGCTTTGGTTGTAAATAGGTTGGAGAAGTTCCAGCATGAGTTCTTGTGGGGTGCTTTAGGATAGGAGTTCAAGTATCACTTGGTGGATTGGTATACGATGTGTGAGCCTTAAAGGGATGAGGGACTGGGTAATAGAAACTTGCTATCTTCAGCCAAGTTTTGTTAGGGAAGTGGATGTGGAGGTTTTCCTGTGTTAGGGAGAGGTATTGGAGAAGGGTGATGGAATGTAAATATGGGAGTGTTTTGGGGGGAGGGGGTTGGGTTTCAAGGGAGATGTCTTTATCCTTTAGGGTGAGTATGGAAAAGGCCTTTGGAGGGCATAGGAGCCCTTTCCTACCAATATTCAGTTTATGGTGGGGATTAAGGAGTCAGCTAAGTTTCGTACTCACCGATGGTGTGGAGAGAAAAAATTTGGGGTGAGCTTCCCTAATATTCAACAGGTTGCCTGGATAGGAAGGTCTCAATTAGTGATTATTTTAGGACTATCAATGGTCAAATCTTTTGGGATGTAGGCCTTCAAAGGGCTTAGCCATCTTTATGCTTCTCATATTGCAGGGGGTGATTCAATTCAATTCAATTGATGGGATCCAAGTCATGCCTCTTCAGGGCGAAGTCTTATTATGATTCTTTTGGGACACAGGGAGGTCTCTTTCCATGGAGAGCAATTCAAGGCACAAAAGCCCTATCTGAGGTGGCTTTCTTTGTTTGGTGCATGACTCAAGACAATATCCTTACGATCGACAACCTGATTAGAAGAACACAAGTGCATGAGAATTGGTGTTGCATGTGTTAGAATGATATCATTTATTCAACCATTGTGAAGTGGCACGAGCACTGTGGTCTTTGGTCCTCCTCTTGTTTGGTGTTGACTAGGTTTACCCGAGGAAGGTGACAGAGCTTCAGGGGTTATGTTGGTAGATGTAGGACGAAGGACCCTCTTCATAGATTTCTAGAAATAGGCACTAGTAATTGATGTCATGCCCAACAATTGATCTTAACAAAAATCAATTGTGGTTCAAGATCGACTGTAACAGATCTAGTGGGAAGAGGCTGAATGGAATGGAGGTCCCAAGTGGAAGTACAAGATTCGAAAGAGTTTATAAAAACCTCGGACTTGTCATCTCTTTCTCTTCGATCTTGTCAGTATCAGTTTTAATGATCCTTCCCTCGTGTGCGGCTATAGCAAGATCCCCTTAATTGAAAGCTGCTTGATGTTCCAACCCAAGTCCAACCGCTAGGTAGTATGAGTTCAACTCCGCCTAGGTACCAATCTAACAACTAACAACTGACTTTCACTAATCAAAAAAAAAAAAAAAAGGTCTAAACTTTATACGAAAATGGGGGATGGCCCTTGGAAGACATGGCCCCACCACGTACGTGTTAACCCTCAGCTTAAATTCGAGGAGTCCATGCACTTGTCCTCATCAAGATCAAATTAGCCTGAATGGCAGAGCTGGTACATTGACTTCTTTGACCATACTATAAGACAAAGGGGAGTACAAATGGCAAAAAAAACTGCTTCCGCACAAACTTTCCGAGCTTAGGGAACTTTAACCAAATCACAATTTTTAGGGAGGAAGCTTCCGAATGGAAATCCTGAACTGCAGGTTTGAATCCTGCTTACATGCAAAAAAGTCGTGAGTCGTGACATGATGTAAACTATTTAGAGAAGCTCAATTGCCTTGTTGCAGCCTCAAGGTGCCGTAAGCAATAGCAATAGCAATGGTAGTAGGGCATAATACCGAAAAGCATAATTTACCTCAATTCTATTGGAGTAGCAATAAAGTTAGCGAGCATCACAGTTGGAGCATGACAATGAGATCCAAGCACCGCAATAGCCAACCCACACAGAAAGACAGTGACCCCTGTTGATGACAAACGTAAATCAATTTGAAGGTGACATACTCATAGTTCTGTTCACAGGTTTACGCAATAGGGCTATTCCTTAATACATTGATGTCATATTAAAACCTTTGATATTTTCAACAAATATACTGCATCATTCGATTACACATGAAAAAAATAGATCATATACATGGAAACCCAACAGAATTCAACAAGATCTCATACACATGACTTGACTTTGAAATCTTTTTAACTTCAACAATCTCAGACTTCAAATTTAATTCGTTTTTTGCATCATGGCTTCAATGTGAAAAGAAACACGGATCAATGACACATACAATAAGCTTTTTTGCCAACTTTATGTCAAGTTGAATCTGAAACAGATGTTGAATAATACAACTTCTAACTTTTTGTGGGTGGGTGTGAGAGAGAGTTTAATTTAGGAGAGACATTTCTAAAGTGGAACCCATTCAAAAGCAAGAACACAAAAATGCTGAAAATAACATACCACATATAGGAAATACTCCCAAACTGATGCCAACAGCAGCAGAGAAGGCCAATTGCTTCGGCTCCGCGCCCCTAATAATAATAATTTTTTGTTTTCAAATACGAAAAAATGAGATAACAAAACAGTATCTTCAAATAAATGAACTAAAATGAATCAATTTCCAAACTAAGCAGCATTTCAGATATGGACACAATACTGAATTATAACAATCTACACAAATTTATGTATATATATACCTATATGAACATAAAACATGGAGAGAGAAAGAGAGTACCTGCGGAGGATTTGGAGAAGGGGATCAACGATCTTTCTGTGAAACCAAGGACCCATTCTGAAGAACGCATTCGCCATTTTTATTTGTGGGTTTTAATGCAGATTTACAGATACAGGTTCAAGATTCGATGAATTTATCTATACATACATGTTTATATATGTGTAGTAGTGAATATTTAGGAATTTTTTCTTGGTGTAGGTGGGTTTGTGATTCAGATTATTCTCTGCTCTTACAAATCATTTTTTTTTGAGGGTTTAGGATTCAAAAGTATTAAATTAATACATATCGAAATCTTGAACTGAATTCAAGAAAAAACAAAAAAAAAAACAAAGAAGTTATTATCCTGTTACGTTCACACAAGTTCCATCTTGATTTACGTTCACACAAGTTCCATCTTGATTGCTTCTTGTAAAAAAAAGGAGCCACATGTCAATTCATTCACCATCGCCGACACGAAGGAAATAAACAAGGGAAAAGAACCATGTTCTCGTACTTAAAAATAGGATTTTATTTATAGACATAATTTAAAAAGGATGAGAATCTTTTCAATCCATTTTAGAGATGGGAGCATATGGTTAGATTTGTGGAGATTTATTATGTGTCGTGTTCTGATAATTTAAATTATTAATGTGTAAAATTTATTTAATATTTTAATTTTATAAAAAATTACGCTGGTCGAATATCAATTATTTTTTAATTGAAGTATATTTTTGTCAATGGTAAATATAATTTTAAAAATAAATTATTAACAAAACTGTGTTCCGATCAAAGAGCTACCGATATCCGATCAACGTGATATTTTGTAAGAATGAAACACTCAACGAGTTCCTCACATTGAATGGTTCAGATCTTTGAAACGTGACCTATGGTAGGCCTCATGGACCCAACTAGGGGTGTGCGCAGTGCGATTTGAGAGTAAAATTATAAACCAAATGGCGGGTTAGCAGATTGACAAATTGCGGTTTGGGCAGCTTTTGACGAATTAGTGGATTGAAGAATATTCTAACTAATTATCATACATTTGCATAATATATAACATTAATTTGTATAATATTTTTTAGATATATAACACAAAGTAATTTTACATTATATGTTTCATATATATAACCACTAATTTATAATAAATTTCATATCTTAAATCTCTCTTACACTCATTTTTACATTGATATTTTATTAGAAGTTAAAAAATACATATGTATTAATTATAGCAGAGTGGAGCGGTTTGGTTGGCGGATTATAAATTTTAAAGTTTAAACCGCGATTAGTAGTTAGAGCGGTGCAAATTGATGCAAATCGGTGTGATTTTAACGGATTGAGCGATATTTTACACAGCTCTAGGCCTAACAGTACACTCTAATCCACTCATCTCTTTAAAAAAGTGGAGTGTAGACAAAATAATTTCAAAATGACAAGTGATTCATGTAAAAATTTATGCAATAAAGACTTGTACTATCATCATTTTAAAATTATTTTCTCTACCCTATACTTTTTTGATATTCTCCCTTATTTATATTGTGTTTAAATCATAGATTTTAGAAATGTTCATAAATTGAATTGGTTCGATTTTAGAATAAATTAAAAATTCAATCAATTTCTACGATTTAAAAAAAAAAAATTAATCAAACTGTTAAACTTATGAAACCAGACCTAAATTGAACTATAGAATTTGGTTTGATTCACACTGAAGAATGTTGGTACAACCTATCAAAAGACTACTAAAACCTTGTTGCATAACATGATTCACAATGAAGTGGAAGTATATATGGTTGAGATGATTGTTAAATTCAAGAAAATGAAAGGACATTTGCTGGTATTGTGAATGTTTTTTGAACAAATTCACAAGTATATGATGAGATCGAACCTACAAAAATACATTTTTAGAGTCACCACAGAGATGTTGTTGGGTTTTATGATCACGCAAAGTGGAATTGAAGTAGATCTATCCAAGATTAAAGCCATTTTGGAAATGCCTCTACCAAAGATTGAGAAAGAAGTACAAGGTGTCACGCCCCAAATTTACGGAGTCCAGCTCATGTGAATAAACCACCTAACGACAAAACCATAGGTAACAACTCTCATGCAGATGTATATAATATAATCACACAATACATGTGTTTACCTGATTTCATATATTTACATTCCTAAATACACCATCTAAGTCAAATAGATCTTCTGTAATTAAAACATAACAGATGTTATAGATTAAATTGAATGCCCAGACGCTTACATCATAGACAAAGGGTGTAACTCTTACAAGAATGGTACACGGACAATAAATAACATAAATGGCCCACGACCTACAAATAATAGAACCACTCTACACAGTTCCGAGCACAACTTCATATCTCAGTCCACATCCACACATGTACACCTGAAAAACATTTCAGCCATGTAGGGTGAGCATAAAGCCTAGTAGAGAATATTTCAAAAACCAAACATGCTTCACTAGCATAAATGATCATGATGCAATACATATAGACAATATGCCCAAATGCATTTTCAAATCCATTTGATTTCTCAACCAAATCCTTTCTTCTCAATTGCTAAAACATTTCGTTTATTTAAAACGTTTTCCGAGATCAAAACATCAGTTTGAACAAATATCCCTTTTCCAAAAAAAATAAAAAAATGATCCAAGTATCTCAATACCAACCAGCAATTACATTGCTAAATTAAATGCGAATACATCGCTAAATAACGGAAAATACATTGCTAAAACCATTTTCAAAACATCTTGTTCCAAAACCAAAACAATAATAAATAAAATAGGTGAATCTCTAGGGCTAGTGTTTATACAAGTAACTATACAAGTCACAAGGTCATTTTTACCGGTACTAACCAGAAAGCTTGACACCTACCGCGCGGATTTAGGTCTTTTACCATGGACACACATGCCAACTTAATTCGGCTTTAACACCCCCTCATAGTTTCACCATTTATTTACCTTTTTAAATAATACAATACATGTAACTCAAACTTGACTTTCCAAATGAAACAAATGTCCTTAAAACATATCACGAGAAACTCCAAAACAACCTTTTGAAAATACACAGTTCCGGTTCCAAAAATCCATTTTCAAAATCTATAATGTGCACATGACATGTATGATCTTATAACATTCCTGTTTGCCTAATCTACATGCAATTTCTAACACACGGCAAAGCTATCCTCCACCGATAGCCAAAACAGTTATCTCTAATACAACAATTAAGATATAACAATATAGATATATTTTCCTAAAAAAGTACTAACACTCGTGTTCTAATCCCACAAACTATTTCTCTTTATCTCTTTCCAACCAAATCATTCACCAAAAATCAATCCAACTCTCAAAACAATATCTTTTAGGGTTTTTCCATAAATTGGGGCTTTTCCACTTTTAGAAATCCATATGCAATTTTGTATATCAAAAATAGCTGTAGTAATTTCAAAATCAACCAAATGACTACCAAATATAAATAACAAATACGCCACAAATACACTACCAGACTCATATTGAGTTTAGGAAATAAACTGTACCTCTTGAAGCGAAGAGGAGACAAGAGAGAGAGAATGAAGAAACCTCGAAGATGCCGAAAACCAACTTTGCTCTGATTAGCTCTCGGTGTGCTCTACCTTTTTATGAAAGGGACTAAGGTGAATAAATCAATGGATCTAAGTGTATTTGTAGAGAGAATGTGAGTTTTAGAGAAAGAAGCTCTAGATTTAGAATTTTTAGAATGTTTAGAGAGAGAAAGAAATGAAAAAGTGACTCAAAAAGGTGATTCTGCGATTTGATATACGCTCAGACCGCTTGAGCGCAAGAAGTGTCACTCGAGCGTCCAGACACAAAAAGTGTGACCATTCGAGCGCAGGAAGTGACTGCTCGGGCATAGAATACAAACTCTCAGAAGTTTTGCAAACAAAAGACCATCGGTCGAGCACAAAAAGCACCTCTAGAGCGCACACCACTCGAGCGCAAGAAAGATTGCTCGAGTGAAGAATGCTAACTCCTAGTATCTTTGTAAACCTGCAAAAGTACTGGAAGTTCACAAAGACCGCTCGAGCGCAGAAAGTACCGTTCGAGCGAAGAGGCAAAATTCTGGGCAACAACAATTTTGAAAAGCAAGCTACCAACCTGTTCCAAATGCAACCAAGACACTCAAATAACCAAACTCAATGAGAAATAAGGAGAAACAAGACATGAACAACCACATAAGATAATGAAACCTAGATCCAAAACATCAACGGGTCGGGTCTAAACCAGAATTGCTATAACCTCCCTCCTTAAGGAATTTCGTCCCTGAAATTGAAGAAACACCAAAACCAGAAAGGCCACCCAATCTATAAAAGGAAACACAACGCCAACCCATGCTTAGATCCATCTGGGGATACGTTTCCGGATCTTAGTCTAACACTCTGGTTCCAAAGACCCGCAAACAACAAAATACTAAGAACATCTTATGGTTACCTCTTCGACCCACATAACTCGCTGTGGTCTATGAGACAAGAACAACAACCACCACACAACAACAATAACCACTTGAACTCAAAGACATTAACCACGCCTGAACCACCTATAACACCGAAATCACCACCGAGTGCTCAAACGCTTAGTCATAGAGAAAAGAAAACTCCTCACATACAAAGCTCCCAATCAACTCTCTTGTAACTCGAGACATAAATAAAACACTATTAATCAACTACGTTATGGCACATCAATGCCCAACAATTCTAAGTCCTTGAAAAAAAAATAAACACACAACATGTAACTAGCAACTCAGGCTAGATTAGAACTTGACTTCTTAACACAGAATATAAGATACCCCGTTCAGGTTAGAGAAAATGCGTTATTTTTTTCCATTTGTCTCAAAACATTTTGTTTTCTTTGAAAAGTGTTCAAACCTACACCGTCACAATTCAAATACATTTTCAACTGCCCACAATAAAACTCAGAGATTTCCAAACTGTTTTTTCGAAAACCAAAGGTGTTATTTATGAAACCTTTTTTTGTTTTGTTTTGTTTTGTTTTGTTTTGTTTTGGTTTTGATTTGTTGGATTTAGCTTTTTGTTAAACCAAAAACTTACGTTTCAACCCAAAACCATTTTTGTTCAAGAAAAGTACCCAAGGCCACAACACCAAGAATAAAAGTTTTGTTTTCTTCAGAATCATTCATCAACATTTCTCCGATGAATCACAGCACAGTCACCCAACAAAACCCATCACACTCAAGGTGATGCCACAATACCAAAACAAAATTTCCACGATGAGAATCTCTAGAAAATTTTGAAATGCCCGCAACGCAATAACACCAGACAAAGAAATTCACACCCCTCAATCACATAATTACGCAAAAGCGTAGTAAAACCATAACCCCAAATCAGTTACCACAAACTCGAAGCAATTTCCCGACTGTCCATACGGAACTTACATGCCACACCAAGACACTGTTCAATTGCACAACCCTCAATTCCAACTTATTCCCGAGGTGAC